TCTTTGCATACAGAATCAGAATCTTCCTCTTGCTCCCCCTTGTGGCTATGAAACAACAACCTGAAAATCAAGTTAGGAACTTTAAAGGCTGAGCAGGTAAAACATGGAATAAAATACAATTATTTATGACATGGTGTACAATGAATTTAAGATTAAAAACAACATACATAGAATGCAAATAAAAGCTCAGAACATAATATACAGCAACAAGTTGCATATACAATAACTACTGGATCTCAATAATGGTTACATGTACCACAGGACCAAACGTGGTTCAGCCCAGAGGGCCTTCTTCAGTGGTCTAAATTGTACTAACACACACATCAAAATGTAAATATAAAATATCTCTTTCAGGCCTAGCAGGTTGTGTATGAGTCACTGAAAAAGTGTAGCTCCAAATTATAGTTATAAATGATCCCTTTATTTCTGGTATACACATGAACACCCACTGGGAATAGAACAACAGCCAAGGACAGAATAGCGGTTCATGGTTACCATCTCTGATGAGTGTGGGCTCCTCAGTATATGCAGGACTGATACATATCTATTATTTGGAGCTTCACTTTTTCAGTGACTCATATGCATTTGGTGCTCTGGTTCTTATATATGTGTAACCATTATTGAGATCCAGTAGTTATTGTATGTGCAACTTGTTTCGTGCACTCTGTAATAAATAGTTGTATTTTATTTCATGTTTTAGTTGTTACCTCTTGTGGCTATACCATGGAATGGAGGAAAAGTTTAAATACCTGGTTTCAGCTTCATGAGAAAAGCAAAAAATACTGCAAGGCATGCAAACAAATTGTAATAGTTGCTAGAGACGTTAATGAACAATCAATACAAAAATACCAAATTCCATTGATACAACAAATTGCTTTGTGTTATTTCAGATGATGTGACGAAATTCTCCGGAGTCAATCTTCTGTTTCGTAAGAACTTCTTCCAACATCAGAACTCATCAAGATGTGTCTTCATTGGTTCACAGATATTCCATATGGATTCATCAATTTTCCCAAAAGGGAGTTGTGCTCCTTCCTTTTGCGGGCTCCCGCATTTTTGAATATGCTCTGAAGAGTATTAGGAAGGAGCACAACTCCCTTTTGTGTAAATATTATATGTAATATTACATAACTAGGAATAAGGCCCATTGTGGAAATAAATACAACAAACTCTAGAAAGAGGCTTTGGGTGGGTTCCCTGGCCTTGGACACTCAGCATCAGTTTGCTGTGGCAACCTCAGCAGGGTATAATGACACAGAGTCCACCATTTTCTCCAGAGGAACTGATCTGTGCCACCTGAAGAGCAGTTCTGAGTGATCTCCAGTCCTCACCTGGCGATTGGCAACAGTGGTTCCCCAGGAGGAAATGGCTGGTTTAGAGGGTGCAGTCTATGGCATTGTACCTGTCTGAGGTCCCACCCCTCCCTCTCCAGGTGACAACCCTATCTCCTTCCCAGCCAACCATCAACCTACCTTTATCTGCCTCTCTGACTTCAGCTTTCCATTTCCTCCCTTCACCCTGCAGCCTCTACTTAGGAAGAGTACAGTCTTTCTCCCCAGTGGGGACCAAAGCAGCTCACATCATTCTCTTCTCACTCTTTTGATCTGCAGAACAATCCTATGAGGTAGGTTAGGCTGAAAGTCTGTGACTGGTCCAGAATCACACACTCAGCATCCAAAGCAAGAACCTGGTGGCTGACACTGCTCTGAAGTGCTGCTACATAAGAACTGCAGAGAAGCCAATGTTGGATCAGGAAAATGGCCCATCCAGTCCAGCACTGTCACACGGTGGCCAAAAATACCAGGTGCCATCATATATAATATTATCTGTTATATCAGTTTAGTGCTATAGCACTCAACTTAAAATGTTTTTTAAAAGCCAGTGAAAGACTTTTTCACACTGTGAAAAAGGGTGGGGGGGGAGTGGCACTGTAGGAAGTGCTATGGACATTCTAAACAGCATACCACAGCAATTCAGAAGTGGAATGAAGGGGTTGTAAATGGAAAAAAGCAGTTTCCTTCAAAAGCAGCTCAACCACGCACTGGAGGCAAGCAGGCTTGTATGAACAGGTAAATAAATTCTGCTAGCAGCTGGTTACCAAAACAGGCCTGTCTGAAGTGACAGAAAAAATCCATTAGCGACTAGTTACTAAAACAGAATACAAAGGCAGTATGAAAAAAGATCCTAATGTAAGCCTCCAAACAAAGTAGATTTACTATGTGCTTTTGGCTCAGAAGGAAATGTACTATAGAGTAATGCAGTTGAGGCTTTCTAACAGGAGATGTCAGGTTTGCATCACAGACACGTAGAATCAGACCAGGATGGACATCTGTGGCAATGGTGCTGCGATCTAGGTAAAGCAGGGCTAAGCAATGCAGACATCTAAACCAGGCCGGCACAACTTGCTAGCTGTCAATCAGCTAACCTCAGCTCTATGGCCACATGTGGTGGCCCACTGGGCTGGGGGTGTGTGTCAAAGGACCTATTTATGGGGGGGGGGTTGGCGGCTATTGCTAATTTTTTAGAGTTTGGTTTTAGACTGGATTTATGCACTAATAGAAAAGGATGGTGTGTGGAAACAACCCCCTGCCACACAGAGACACCAATTGCGCAAGTGGGGAAAATCCTCCATGAGGAAGCACCCAAGGACTAAACTAGACACATTCCTGCCCCTGAAAAAGCAGTCCACCTCCTTTTCTTTCCCCCAGTAATATTTATGGTAATACAAAACACGTCATGCAAATCATCACAGTATTGGAGTTTCCCTGCCAATGGCAGCCGAGGAAGTGGAACAGGGGAGAGAAACTCAGAGCATGATGACGTCATTTCACATGTTCTGTAGACGTAGATGCTAGGAATTCACATGACCAGTTACACTTCTTGTTATGACAGTATAGTGATATCATGATATGAAACTAACACTTTAAAACATATCTTGAAAAAGGCCCAGTGGTTCCGAGGAGGTGGGATGGCTGTTGCTGCTGGAGAACTGGGGCAGGACAACTGCAGGGACAACTGCTGCACGGAAAGCCCTGTTGCCACAGTGCTATGCAGGCTGCCACAGTGGCAATGGGGAAATCACACAAGCCTGTTCCCATTTGGAAAATACCTCGATAGCTGCTTTTGGATTGTGTTATGACTTAGTGCATTGTAAGTTGTATAGGCCTGTAGCACTCTATATACAGTGTGCATATTCCATGTTAATTATACATTGTGTGCAAAGGGGGAGCTCAGATACCCCCCCCCCCCGAGGGGGCAGCAGGGCAGCAGTCCAACAGGAATTTTCCTGATAACAATTATGGTCCATTTGCCCCAACCATAGATGACACTGTGATGGCTTAGTTCCCAGGCTGGATGGGCTTACGTTTGTTTGGGGGCCCTGAATCCTCCAGATGTTCCAGTCTATATACAGCCAGGAGCAATATATTAACAGGAAAGACAAACTATTTTTTTTCCCCCAGGAAAAGTCTGGACTTTATATAAGAACATTTTAATACAGGCGTCTTTGCAAATACATACTTTCCATAGATAACAAAAATAACATTTAAATTTCCATTCACCAAAGGCACACTCATTTACATTAAAAAATAACATCTCTGAAGAAGAAATAAACAGAGTGGAGAAGAAACAATCATTACAGTGAAAAGGCATGATCCAGCAGGAGCTGTCCTGCATGGGCTCAGTGAAATGAGGCGCTGTGCATGAGCAGCAGCAGGAAATGTACACCCTCTGTTGCACGAGTGACTACAAGTCAACGACCTTTGTCATTTCATGACATCATTTCCTCTTTTACAGGGAACACAGAGATTAATAATGAAAGGGGCATGGATGCCCTCCACATGCATTTGCGTTTCAAACACTTAACAGCTCATTCATCCCATCTGTATTTCAATGGCAGATCTCTCTCAACATGAGACTCTGACTCTGCCATCCATAGGGTTGCCAGGGATGGGGGGAACTTACCGGGAATGGGAGGAAGGCCCAGCCAACATTGCAGCAATGTCTCTACATCACTTCGATGTGACCCAGAAGTGATGTCATCATGCACTGCTGTCGAGGTGATCCTCTGGTATTTGTACAAAAACTCTATGGTAAATTTGGCTTCAGTTGCAACCAAATTCTGTTTCATAGTATGCAATGAGACTTTGGAGGACAATCTCAAACATACTTCAGGGGGTTTAATAGGGTTTAAATCTGTTGAGGGTTGCACTATTAGTATGGGAAGAAAGTTTTTACTTATTTTTACTTTTACTTATTTTACTTATTTTTTTACCTCACCTTTCTCCCCAATGTAGACCAAAGGCACCTAACATTGTTCCCCCGTTCCCCTTCCATTGTAATTTCACATCAATCCTATGAGGCAGCTAAGGGTGAGAATACATGACTGGCCCAAGGTCACCCAGCAAGTTTCCATGAGAGTAAAGATTCAAATCTGGGTCTCCCAGACCCTAGCCCAACACTCTAAGCACTGTTAAACGTGTTTCCAATTGCTATGTTTAAAATTCTTTCGAATATTTCATGCCTTTCCATCCTTACTCAAAGACAATCCATTCAGTGGGATTTTTCAAAGTTAACTGTGTATATGTGAAAAAAATTCATCAAAATATATCTGTGAAAAAATACATTAAAATGTACTTGTGAAAAACAGTATTAAATATAAATCTTTAGTACTTGCCCCCCACCTATCAAGGCTTTCCCATGAATGGGTTTATCTGCTTTTCCCCGAGATCACATTAGAAAGTGCATCTGATTGTAGAACCCCTACACCAATTTTCTACATTAAAACACACCAAAGAAAATATAGGTTGCTCCTTGTAATCATGCCCACAGCAATGTATTGCCATTCCATGTACAAATCAGATGATTCACAAATCAAGTATCAAGTGAAAGAGGTCTTTTGGGAGTAGTGTTTTCAGTGTACACACACTAAGTATATAGGCCACTAAAAATCAGCCTCAAAGAAATCTTGGACTATTCAAGTGCTAACAATGATGCCCTTTACTAGGTGAAGGTCACCAGCTTGTGAGTGACTGACCTGCTCCCCAACCATCAGCAGCAGTGGAAGCTGCAGACATCTGCAAGCAAACCTTTTTCACAACATGGAGAAAAGCGTCATCACCTGCAAACAGTTGGAGGTTAAACCTATGTTACACACGAGAGCAGGGATGGATAAAAAGGGTGGCAACCATTGCACACCGTGGCAGTTTCTCAGCAACAATCAAGGCACAAGAGGCTTGGCATCTGAGCTTTGCTTCTGCGCTTCCTGAGAAAGAGAGGCATCTGAATGTAAGGAGGAGGCTCAGGAAAGATAACAATTTCCCCCTGATTCAAGCAACCTGTATTCCTGGAGTCATGGTGAACAGCTAGGTCATACTCTTACAGTACTCCATGGCAATGCAATGTTAAGTCCACTAGTTGGGAAGGAGTCTGTTTTCAGTAGCATTCAGCTTGGAGAATCTCTTTAAAAACCTCTGGTCTGGTCCATAGGTGGCAGTGGAAGCATACAGACTAGGCACAGGCCTTTGCTAAAGGACCATCACAGGGTTCAGATCTTAATGGCTCAGTTCCACAGTTCACAAAGAGCTCCCAATGCACTAGGATCTCTCAGGTCATGATTCTATCACTATGGATATAACAGAACCGGGCTGAAGAAGTTCCCTTCTGTTTTCTCCCCCTCAAGAGTCAGGGTTCCAGATGACAGCTAGCAAACACAAACACACTGCCATTTCTTTTGCAGGGAAAAAAACCATTAGAACCGTAGGAAGATAGCAGCCATTCTGTTTCCTTTGCAGATGGAGGAACCAAGGGAAAAGAAAAGCCTCCTTGAAATCCCAGGATAGTATTCAGTCTGGTCCTTCATACTTTGGGGTTAACTGGGGGTTTCAAAGCCTAAGGGGAAAACAAAGAATTGCCAGAATCAAAACAGAAAGCGAGGGATTATGGCAAACTAAAAGTGCCATCCTAAAAAAGGTCCAAGCATGGTGGGGGACTGAGCTTTATTTGAGGTCTAGTGGGGCCCAGACCAGGCAGCAAGTCCATTACTAGGGTTCCCAACTTCCAGGTGGTAGCTAGAGATTTCCTGGGATTACAACTGATCTCCAGGCAACAGAGGTCAGTTCCCCTGGAGAAAATGGCTGCTTTGGAAGGTGGGCTTTATGTCATTATACCCCAACTGAAATCCCTCCCCTCCCCAACCCCACCCTGCAAATAGGGCTGCCAAGCCGTGGCAGGGGATCCGTGCGTCTTCACAGGATCCCTGCCGCAGGGGACAGCGATACGCGTTGCACCACCGTCGCCAGGATGTGACGCTACGCGTCGCTCTGACAACGGGACTCCAAACAGCCCCGTTGCCAGAGCAACGTGTAGCATCACATCCTGGTGACAGCGGTTCAACGCATATCGCTGTCCCCTGCGGCAGGGATCCTGTGAAGACACACGAATCCCCCACCGTGGCTTGGCAGCCCTACCTACAAATCCCCAAAATCATGAGGTATCTCCCAACCCAGAGTTAGCGACCCCATCCACTACCCTGATCTGACCTATGTTATTTCAGAAATATAGTTTCCCCCCCTTTCATAAATCATGAGATTGTATGAATGTATAGGATGGCTTGAGGGAGTGAGAGTTTGTAACCATCTCAGAGAACTTATACCCTTCTCTGGAATTGCCTCCCATGAGTGCTTGTTGATTAAAAGAAAAGTCAGTTCATGCTTCTTTCTCTGGAATATCTTGCAGATATTCTTGGGGTACGGACTTGCTTATAAAGTAATGTAACCATAAAAGGTATATTGTAAAATGTATATACAAAGTGTATATATCACCATTGCTTCTGGATTAGGAATGACAGGGAACGCACAGTACCATGAGCCTGCCTTTAGCCCTGTTCTACATTTCCTCTGTAGCATCCAGCATTTATAAATGCCAGAAACAGAGCACTCCGTTACGTAGACGCTATTTCCCATTGCCAGGGAGATTATGTTACTAACTTATTTATTTTTCTCTGAAAAATCTCAACTATGTCAATAAATCCTTGCTAGTAAAAGGCAATTAACCACAGTTACAAAGAAGAACTGAGCTCCCCCTGTGGCTTTCACAGTTGTGTGGAGGGGACTTTGTCAAACCTGCCTAACCAGTTTCTCCTCTTCTATACAACTCTTAAATTTTTTTTAAATACAGAATTCCAGAGTCTGACTTGGTGCAGTCCACAGGCATTTGGGACTGGAAGTGGAGGAAGAGTTCCCTGTCTGCGCATGGTTTCCTTAATTTCATGGAGGTCTCTGGAGCAATGTTGAACTCTCTGAAAGCTCCCCCCCCCCAACTGGCTCTTCCTAGAGGCAGGGAAAGCTAGAGAGGGCTGAGGTGCTGGCTCACTCTTCACCCCTGCTTGATGTTCTGTGAAGGACAGAGCCCCAGCCCCATCAGATCAGACATCCTCAGCAAGGAGCGTTCCTTGCCAGAGGGAGGAATCTCTTGCCAAATATACCTTACCTGAGATGGAGGTGGAGGAGCTGGTTTACGCTTGAAAGCAGGAGTGGGAACCGGGTTAGTTGCTGCTGCCTGTAACAAAAGTGCCATATTTTTCTGATCAGCTCCCTTTATGTCAAATGACTTCCGTTATACTGACCTAATCAGAGGTGGGCTGTTCCACAGTCACTGCTCATAAGGGAAGCAATTTCTTACAACGCGCCTTCCATAAAGGCCACGGTCCACATGACAAAGGGAGCTTTGACTCTCAAAAGCTTGTGACCTGAACATCTTGTTGGTCTCTAAGGTGCTGCTGGACTTGAACCCAGCTCTTCTACTGCAGGCCAATCTCTGAGATCCCACAAGAAAAGCATCCAGAGCAAAAAGAAGCCTTGAAAATTAGCATTAGAGGAGGTGCAGATTTTGCACTGGGGCTATTTCAAACAACATAAAAAGTGGAAGAGGTGGTCCCTCTCCTAGGAACACAGCAGTGTTATGGATGAACTGTAAGAGGTGGGTATGCAATGAGAAGAGCAGAACACAGTTGAGACCCCTCTTTCAACAAGGCAATGAGAAGAGCAGAACACAGTTGAGACCCCTCTTTCAACAAGGCATCCCTTTGGAAAATAAGCTGTTCTTGAGCACAAATGCTAGGCACAATTAAGGTTTGTGTGGCACTTTCTGCAGGGTGGAGTGGATTTCTCCTGTTCCAGTCTCATATTGTTCCAAAATCTCTCCCTGTGATGTTTCGCTCCTTCAATTCCATTTTGATTGGAGAATTTCTAAAATTAATTCCAGAACTGGAATATGTGCAGTTTGCTTTCCCATTTCTTTTGTGTGTGGTGATGTGTGTGGTGTTTTACACTCACTGCTCCTTTGCATTAGTATTCAAAGAATGTGGACAGATCACACAATCACATCACAAGGTTGCTTTTTGCTTGTGTGCACTGATATTATCAAGGGGACGATGATGTCATGTGAATGGAAGGAACAGAAGAAGCTGCAAGAAACTGCACATGCTCAGCATTCTGCACAAAATTAAAATTAAAAAAAAGAGCCGTGGAGGATCTTTACTGCTTGGGCCCCACTCCAGAAATATGCTGTCTCTGCAGGGTTTTCAAGGCAAGAGACAAACAGAGGTGGCTTGCCATCGCCTGCCTCTGCACAGATTCAGACCTATGTTGGTCTGAAGCAGCAGAACAAAGTTTGAGTCCAATGGCACCTTTAAGACCAACAACATTTTATTTAAGGTGTCAGCTTAAATAAAACTTTGGCCCCGGTCACACAAAAGGTTTTGGGCCGGGAGAGGGACGGATCAGGGGCGCAGCAAACGGGCGCGATCCCACCGCAACATCTGGGAAACGTGCGCCTGTCCCCGATCCGGCCCTTCCGGCCAAAAACCCACACCTAAACTAAACCACCTCCTGAGGAGGTCTTACCTGAACGGCCACGGCAAGCGCGGCCGTGGGATCGCCGGCACATCCTTCTGCCGGCACATCCCCGGCTCCTGGCCGAACTGCGCATGCACATGCATGCGCAGCCGGCTGCCTCAGTCTCCCGACCGTGGCGTCCTCCCCGGCATCTGATCGTGCCAGGGAGCAATGGCACCGCGGCTCATGGGATCCGTGGGATCCCGCCGCGTCGTGTCTATTTTGGTGTGGCTTCCAGAAGCCGCACTTTGGCCACGCATTCCCCCTCCCCCCCGTGTGGCTGGGACCTTTGTTGGTCTTAAAGGTGCCATTGGACTCAAACTTTGTTCTACCTCTGCATAGCAACTCTGGATGTCCTTAGCAGTCTCCCATCCAAATTCTAATCATGGTTGACCCTGCTTAGCTTTTGAGATATGCAAGAGGAGGCTAGACTAGCCCAATCCAAAAGGCACTACAAGCTGTCACTGAGGAGAGCAAAATTTTATGCATTCCAGGCTAATTGGGAAATACTGCAAAGAAGAACACCATACCCACTCCTAACTTGAAATAACATCTGCGCTGTAGGGGGTATTGAGTCTCTCCTCTCCCCTTCTCTTTTGCAGGCCTTTCCCCTCACCCCATACATCTTCCGAGGGGGGGTACCAAAAGGAGCACTGATTAGAGCATGTAGCACCTTGATATCAGGAAAGGAGAAAAGGGGGAGGGGTGGAATTCTCAGGACTATTCAGAAGTTGACTTACTGAACTGCCTGTAACAGGAGATGAAGCTGGCTTGGCATTTGGAACAGGAGGAGGTGGAATATTTGGTTTTATGATGGGCTGGAAGGAAAGAAGAAAGAAATGGGCTTATCCAACAACATTTGCGCCAGATTTGGAAGACAAGACAGCAAGCATTATCTGAGCTTAGCCTTAGTCTTGAAAGGCAAATCACCTTGGTGTGAAAGCCGTCAACTCCTTGAGAAGGATGAGGCTGAATTCTTCCCCCCCTATGTCCAAAGACTATGTCTGCAGCAACTTTCAACTAGCAATCCTCACTTTCCAGCCTTATCTACATCCCAGACTTCATGTGGTTTAGCAGCCAGGTGTATACTCATCGGTTTCTCCAGTGGAGCTACCTGCCCCATCACTGGGTCAGGAAAATGGTGCAGGGGAAAGACTGACATCCCTTCTCTTACAATCATGATCTGAATTGGGAACTGCATGTCACATTCTTTGTGAATAAACTGTCAGGATCCAGGATGCAGTACAACATAAAATGAACTTTATTAACTATTTATATAATTTAGAAATCAGCACGAAAAGGAACAAAACTGACCTGCTGCTTCAGCCCTGACTCTGTTTATCTGCCACAACCCTCTAGGATCTATGTTATGTTAAGCACCACCCACTTAAAGTCATAATGTCCTCACACTGCACACATTAGAAATTAGTAGAACCTGCACCTCACACGTGTCTGCTACACGGGATTTGGAATCTTAGCCCAAACTGTGTCCCAAGGTTTCTAACTGTGAATGCTGGACTTGATGGGCCCTTGATCTAATCCAGCAGGGCTCTTTCTGTGTTCTTTGGTCACACTCAGATTCTTCAAGTTCTTACCATTTTGGCATTTTGGTAGACACCCACACTGTGCTTGGATTCTTCCCCTGGAATATTCTAAGGAATGATAGAAAGACAAATTAGGTGAGAGTTGCTGAAAAGGGAGATTCATACCACTAAATCCAAACACCCGCCCACACATATTCTTGCATGCGGAAAAACAGCATGTCAGGAAGAAGGATTTTATTTTATCTTTTCTGTGACATGAAATCTTTTTAATTTGCAAGGGCTTATTATGGGGCCGTATTCATCATCTGTTGAATTTGAAGAGCAGTGTTCAATAGTGTAAATATACTTCGTTGGCAGACAGAAGGGTTGCACATCACTTTTATCTTTGATTTTGCTTATTCAATTTTATTATGTTAGCAATATTTCTTATGGTCCATGGTGTAAGTGATAAAGGTTCAATCCACTTTTTGCTTACAACACAAAACGGTGGTTTGTTTGCTTGTGGTGGAGGCGGTGGGATAAGTAAACTTGCAGGGTTGACCTGAAAACAAGACACAATGTGAACATTTTTACTTATTTATTTACTATTTAGTTCATCAACCGTTTAAACAGTGAGCTGTTTCTTACCTCCGGAAGAACAGGTACAGGGCTCATATGTTGTCTTCTCTTCTGCTCTGGTCCTGAGAAGCCAAGGTTTGCAGATCCATTCATGTTCTTGTGGATGCTGTCAGAAAACCACTAAATATCAGCAGGGACTTAAGGAAGGGGCTGTGGTTCAGTGACAGAGCACAGGCTTGACCTGCAGAAGGTCCTGGGTTCAATTCCTGGCATCTGAAGCTTTAACGAATCACAGGGAGCAGAGAGAAAGACCTTTCTCTGGTATATGCATCAGCGGTCAAAGCAGCTTCATATGTTTAATGCTATTCAAATTCTAGAGATTTCAAAGTCTGGGCCAATCCAGATATGGTGAGGAAGATACATGGACTATGCATCAACTTCATTGGAGTTGCAAGGTTTCCAAATGTAGTTGATTTGCAATGCAAACAGACAGGTTCCTTTTTCTAATGAACACTGCCTCCCCCAAAGCTGCTTTTCACAATACAAGGACCCAAGAAGACCCAATACCTTTCCCCCTGCAGAGCAAAAGTAAGCTGGGGCTGATTTTGAGTATGGGAAATATTCAGTCCTCCCTCCTGCTGTGCTGCTGCTGTGTTTACATTCAGAGCATCCCATAGCCACAATAATGCCAAGAATAAATGTTCAGAGACAATTAGGGAACTACAGAGATGAAGAGGAAGGGTGATAGTACACAGGAAGGAACAAAATGGTGAAAAGGCTTCCTTTCTCCCACATAGACTCCTTTTGGTTCCTCTGTTTCTGTAAGGTATTTAAAACTGTTGTTCAACACAGTCAGGACTAGGAACTTGCTTTCATATTAAAATAAATACTAACCGTCATATTCCCCCCCCCAGAATAGTTCCAAATCTTTGCCACCCAGCTTATGCCTTGGATGCACCACAGAATTTACATGCATGCATAGGGGCCCCCCCTGATCTCCACTAATCCCCCTCTCCTGTGGCAGGTATCTGACTTCCCCCTCATGCTCTTTCCGGGAATTCCAACCTGGAGGGGGGGGGGGGGGGTCACACTCCATGGGAAGAAATCCCTTCCATCCATGGAAATCTTTTGGTGGCTCCAAGCCTACATTTCCTGTTTGGTGCTCACTGAATGAGTAACTAGACAACATGCTGAGAGATCTGTGACTGGATCTTCCCAGCACTTTCAAATCCAAAAAGCACGTGCACTGGGTTCAGATCAGGCAGTGGTCCAAGGGGAGACCCTAACCTTTCTCCCCCCCACCTGTTTTACTAATCAAACCCAGCCATCACCACTGCAGCAGTAATTAGTCCCAGCAAGGAGAAAAAAAGACTGGCAAAGAGGGGTCCTGGGATTGCTAGGGCCTCCATGTGATTCAAACACATTATGTTTCATTCGATATGCCTTAGCACAATGAAGCTTCGTCTTGTGGCTGCAAATGTGAAGGTTTTTAGAACTCAGCATTAAATGTGCTAGTTTTTAAATAAACTAATGCAGCTGCCAGATCACAACCCTGAGATCTGGCTTCCCAGGCTGTCTTTACAGATTTGACAGAGAATTATTTGCTGAACGGCTTTACCTTTGGTTTGGTTTCTTCTTCATAATCTGGTAACGGTACAAGACAAAAACGATGATTCCTGTGACGGCAAGAGACACCAACACAGCAACAATGATGATGATATCTGCAAAGCGGGGAAAGGACAAAAAGTTCTTAATTTGTTCAGGGAGAATTACATGAAAAATATGTCCAGCATGCCACCCTGAAGATTTAAACCCTTACCCTAACCCTAACCACCAGAGCGAGCAAAAGATGTGCAGAACAGAAAACAGACCCACCATATCAGGTGTAGCTTGACCTGCAACAGTCACATAATTTTTCAGTCTAACCTACCAAGCAGGACCATTGAGAGGATTAAAGGGGGAGGGAGTTATGCACACAGTCATGAGATTTTTGAACAAGGGTAGAATCAAACCTGCAAACTCATACAGTATGAGACACCATCCTTTATTTTCTTTCAAAAGGAACAATCTCTTGTTCACTTAGAGGGGGAGTACGTCACAGTTACGTGATACAGTATGACTCACAAAGCATGCATCTTCAAACATAGGCCTTTCCCACCAACCTGTGATAAGTGGGAGTTTATCTTCTCAACAGCCATTAGTGAGCTGGTGAGAGTTCAACAGGATTGCATCCAACTGGACTGGTTACACTTGCTGTGATCCCAGATTTCTGTGATGTCTTTCCTACACAACCTATTATTTTTTGTAATCCCTAACCATTTCTTTTTCAGCAGCAGCAACAAAGGATTCTCACATTTTTGTCCTGCAGAAGCAACATCTAAGAAGAAATGTTATACTGGTCTTAGGTATAGAGCCAGACTTTAAGGATGGGACTTCAGTACAGGGCCGCCCATGGGCGTTTGGCACTATGAGTAAACTGCGACTCCCCCCACCACCACCACACACAAATTCAATAAAGAGAAAAATGAGGTCTAGAGCAAACTTTTATTTTATTTACTTCATATTCAAAATTATTCATACAAACGTTAAAATTGACATTTTATTGATTTTTAAATATCATTGCTCTGAATACAATCACACTGCATGAAGGAAACCACCCAGCAACTGACAACTGAACTTTTTTGAGGTGTACAGTGCTTCTGGTTAGCACTACAACAGATAACATATCAGATAAATGAAATTCACTTCCATTTCCTATGGTGGTGGAAAGCACCATTAAGTTGCAGCCAACTTACGGCAAACCCATAGGGGTTTACAAGACAAGAGACGTTCAGAGGTGGTTCGCCATTGCCTTCCTCTGCATAGCGACCCTGGAATTCCTTGGCGGTTTCCCATCCAAATACTAACCCTGTGTACCTTCCGAGATCTGATGCGATCAGGCTAGCCTGGGCCATCCAGGTCAGGGCACCTTAAAGCCTAGCACCCGAGGCGACCACCTAGTTTGTGTACATCGTCAGGCTGGCCCTGATACAGTAAGAAACAAAGGACTGTTGCTAAAAATAGCAACCCTATGAGAAGTCCTCTCCCCACAGTGTAGTTCAGTTTGGCCCCTCCCCTGTCCAGCCATCTGCACACTCAGTGTTTTCCCTGCTTTTGACTTTTAGCAGTAGCCAATTACATGGATCAGGGAAACACTCTGTGTAATCATGTCAGGACACATGGTAAGTTGCCCTGCATTGTTTTTCAACTCACATCTGTTTGCAGTGGGGTCGTCACAGTTTGGCGGTGCCCATCCTTCTTCACATTGGCATTGCAATTCATGGTCACAGACCTAAGGAAGCACAAATCTCACATTAGTCTTCATGATGGACACATGAAAGGGAAGCCAACAATAGCTTCTCACATCTGTTCTGAGCTCTTAACCCCTTGCTTGAGCAAAGTGAAACTAAATCCAGATAGATCCTTCCACAGGGGCAGGAGCTTCGGCCATCATTTGTGGAAACCCAAGAATGGTGGTGGGACATTCCTGTATATTTCTTTGTTTGTCCCAAATATTCGTTCATCTATAACCTGCATTCCTCACTTAGACTGATTACAAAATTTAAAACAATGCAATAGGGCCAGTATTAGACATATAATATACAGTATAATAAGATTAAATTACAAAATTAGAAAACACTGATATTGACATCATTCCTTTCAAACACTGGGTTTCAGTGGCTAGCAATTCTTGAAAATGCATGAGCAAAATAAACAATACAGTATTAACAACTGTAGCTCAGAACTAATTGCACCAACATATCCAGACTAATTGCAACTCCTATTTCCTGGCCTCAAAATATGAGCTCAATGCAGAGATAAATGTTACTATTCCCAAATCATGAGCAATCCATCTCTAACATTAGTACATCAAAAGCCTTTTGGTATTAATTTCTCTAAACAAACTGTATTTATTCAGCTCTGTGGTTAGTAAATTGGCATGTCAAGTGCCTCTTATTGCTCTTGATGGCAGCAGTCTGAACTAATGAATACTGTGTTTCCTTATGGTACTAAGCTTGATGTTATTTGGGACTGGGGCGCTGGGATGGAGGAAGATGAAAGTGATGTTAAGAGCAGAAGAGCCAGAAGCTGAGTCAGTGAAGCTCTGTGGTCCACTGAGAAAACTGAAAGGATAACAAATGCAGGTACGTCGTGCTATACTGACGACCCCACAGCCTTAGGATGTTAATAAACCTAATCAAAAATCAGTGGACATTATTATCCCCCTGATCTTGATGAATAATAAATATGTAAATCTTACTGCATGTCCTTGGCACTGCTCAGAACAGTTGGTGGATCTGTAGGCTCTCTCAATCTCCATGCATTGTCCCAGGCTGCAGACCTGAAAGTCAAAGACCAGGTAATCCAAAAAAAAAATAGCCTAACTTTTTAGAAAACAGCATGCTATTTCCAGGGCCTAGGACCAGGGTACTATATAATTTTTTAAAAGATCTTGCATATAGCGACAAAAGCCAGCATGTGCAGAAAAAAATCAGGATGAAACATTTTCTCCTTTATAGTTCCTTTCTTCTGCTCTGTATTTCAGTCCTCCTAAATTCTGGCTTACCCAGGAAAATTTCTGATTCCTGAACTAGATCATGTACAGGTTGACACAGTTTCCAGTTTTTCTCCCATTCACCCCCACTCCATACATTATAATGTGGAATTTTTGCATTAATCAAACACTATAGAAAAGCAAGGTTGGTATGATTATACATACAATTGCATCACGGTTATTTTTGTGTGGTGTTTTATTGACAAGTACATGAAACAAATGCACATTTTGTTTGATGAGAAAGTATCAAACAAAAAAAAATATTGATGAGCTGTATGAATGAATACAAGAAGATCACTTTTTCGGTAGTGTGTTAGCAATGCACATGTACACATTTGTAATACAGACAATACAAAAGACTTGAAGGAAATAAAAACTTTATGAACAGTGTGCTGCCCCAAAAATGGAAATAAAAAACAGAACAAAGGAGATCTAAAATTCAGAATTATTATGTAGATGGAACTAGGACCCTGCCCTTCACTACCCAAAGGAGTCTCGGAGCAGCTTACAATCTCCTTTCCCTTCCCTTCCCCACAGCAGATACCCTGTGAGGTAGGTGGGGCTGAGAGAGCTCTTCTGACAACTGCCCTTGAGAGAACAGGCTCTGAAAGAACTTGTGACTGACCCAAGGTCACGCCAGCAGCTGCATTTGGAGGAGTAGGGAATCAAACCTGGTTCTCCCAGATTAGAGTTCATGCTCCTAACCACTACACCAAAACTGGCTACATATGGATGTGAAAGCTGGACAATGAAGAAAGCTGACAGGGAAAAAACATTGATTCATTTGAAATGTGGTGTTGGAGGAGAGTTTTATGAATACCATGGACCACCAAAAAGACAAATAAGTGAGTTCTACATCTAATCAAGCCAGAAATGTCTCTAGAAGCTGAAATGGGGAGACTGAGGTTACTTTACTTTGGTCACTTCACAAAATGGCAAGACTCACTGGAAAAGAAAATAATGCTAATGACAGTAGAAAAAGATGAAGAGCAAACATGAGATGGAATGATGACTCAATAAAGAAAGCCACAGCTGTTAACAGTAGGTAACAAAATGGCAAGACTCACTGGAAAAGAAAACAATACTAATGACAGTAGAAAAAGATGGTGAACATGAGATGGAATGATGACTCAATAAATAAAGCCACAGATGTTAACAGTAGGTAATTTTTGAGGACATTCATTCATAGGGCCACCATAAGATGGAAGCATCTTGACAGCACATGCCACACGTACACACACTCTCTCGCACACATTATAAAATGGCATTCCAGCCGCAGTAGCCTCACTAGCTGCACATCTGAGCTGGGCCTTTCAGAGGGAGTCACGGATGACGCTTTACTAACCATGCCTTCTCCACATTTGGTCCCAGGGTCAACCATTCCATTGTCTTCTTCTCCTTTGCCTGGGAAACTGCCTTTACAGGAGTCAAACGCTACTAGGCTTCCAGTCGAAGGCATTCGGGAACCACCAGTGCAGTATAATTTGCCACACTTCAGATCTCTGAATAGGAAACAAGAAGTCATCACTAATTTAAAGCAAGGGCAGAATAGCAAAGGAAGGTCAACATTTTCATTAGCTTAGAATTGCTTTCTACCAGATAAACCTTTATCAAGAACCCCACCGTTCCTAGTGGTAAAGAAAAAAGATAAAAATAAAAACTCCCATTGCTTACTTTTTTCCACATGGTATGTATGTGCCATTTGCTTTCCTGCAGTGTCCATAATACACCCCATTCAGGTTTATCTTGTAACAAGAATCTGCAGCTACTGTGGCCCCTAGGAGTCAAAAAACATTTAGTTATCAGGGAATCTCTCCTTATACATAATTTCAATTTAGTCTGGCAACATTCCATGCACTCCCATTCGCTGTAAAATGCCCTCCCTCAGCCATTGGCCCATCAACTGCCACTCAAGAGTACTCGCGTGCCATTGGCCGGGTGCTGGGTTTGTGCCTCTTCCCGGCCCACTCCTTCAGCCTCTGGGCCCTCTCAGAATTTCTGGCAGATGGCTTTCTCTCTTGACGAAGACAGTTGCCTCCTGTGTGAGACTAACTTTTCCCCTCAGTAGTTGTTGGTAGGTGTAACGAAATGGCAGTTATCTGTATCTGTAAGATGGCTGCCGTCTCTGTGTTTAAAATGTTCCCCCAGAAAGCTTAATTGAGCTGTAGTTCCAGAGAGGAGCAATCCTCATCTGCTGGCCTACACGTCCCAGCTGCACCAAAAAAGTGCGGGAAAAGAGGGACATTCGGGCGAGGCAGCATCAATATAGACTCCAGCTAGGCAACAAGCCAGAGACATGGGGGAACCCTGGAGGCAGCAGAAATTCAGCCACTCCACAGTCAGCTGGACGCTGCCCTCCACAGGATCCATCCCCCAAATCTCCAGGTATTTCCCCACTGGGAACCCTACTTTCCCCTCAGTGCCTGTTGCTAGGCAAACAAGTTTGGTTCTGTCGGTAAAAGGCCTTTTCCACACCTATTTTGGCCTTTGGGAGAAAATTCATTAGGGCCAGTCCTGACTAGGGTTGCCAGCTCCAGGTACGGAGATTCTGTGTCTAAGGAAGCCAGTCTAAGGAAGCCAGAGTCTGGGGAGAGGAGAGGCTTCAGCTGAACAGAAGGCTATAGAGGCCACCATCCAAAGCAGTTAATTTTCTGGGGGGGGGAGGTCTGTTGTCTGGAATTCAGTTGTGATACCTGGCGATCTTCAGGCTCCACCTGGAGGTTGGCTACCCTAGGCGTTGCAGCCAGCGCTTCAGAGCAGTGTCTGTTAGACCCAGATTCTTGCTGTGGCAGCTGGCTGGGTAATTTTGGACCAGTCACAGACTTTCAGCCTAACCTACCTCACAGGGTTGCTGTGCAAGTCAAAAAATGATGTAAGCTGCTTTGGTCCCCATTGCAAAGAAAGACTACTTTTCCTCCTGGGGAAGCATTGTTGCTAATCTCCAAGTGAGGGCTGGAGATCACTCAGAATTACAACTGCTCTCCAGATGGCAGAGATCAGTTCCCCTGGAGAAAATGGTGGACTCTGTGGCAGTCAGGGCTTCAGAGCACGGGAGAGGCTGCAGGTGTGTGTGTGTGTGTGGGGGGGGAAATAGAAAGTTGAAGAGAGGGGGAAATAAAGGTTGGTTGATGATGGGCTGGGAAGGAGATAGGATTGCCAACTCCTGGTGGGAAATTCCTGGAGATTTGAGGGATGGAACCTGGAGAGGGTGAGGGTTGAGGAGGGGTGGGACCTCAGACAGGTACAATGTCATAGACTCCACCCTCCCAACCAGCCATTCCCTTCTGGGGAACCACTGTTCCCAATCTCAGGAGAGGGGTGGAAATCACTCAGAATTACAGCTGATCTCCAGGAGGAAGGGGGAAGGAGATGCAATGCTGAAATCAGAGGGGCAGATAATGGCAGGTTGATGCTTGGCTGGGTAGGAGATAGGGTTACCAACTCCATGTTGGGAGATTCATGGAGATTTGAGGGGTGGAGCCTGGGGAGGGTGAGGTTTGAGGAGGGGTGGGACCTCATACAGGTACAATGCTACAAACTCCACCAGACCAGCCATTTCCTCCTGGGTAACAATTTTTGCCAATCTCCAGGTGAGGGCTGGAGATCACTCAAAATTACAACTGCTCTTCAGGTAGCAGAGATCAGTTCTTCTGGAGAAAATGGTGGACTCTGTGTCATTATACCCTGCTGAGGTCACCACAGCACATTGATGCTGAGTGCCCAAGGCCTTGGCACTCTCTCAGAGCCTCTTTCTAGATCTCGTTGTATTTATTTCCACAACGGGCCTTATTCCTAGTAGGATTATAATTGTATGAACCAAATTTATGTATTTATTGAAATATATTTGCCCCTGTGCTGTTCAACAGGCATCAAAAGCAGCTTGCATAAATCACACAATGTAGTCGATAAAACCCATACTCATTACTGATAACACTGGGAACTTCTGGATCCAGCCCTATATTTCCCATTTGAAGATATAGGAATTTCCTCGATCTCTATGGTTGTTACTATAGAGTTTCAGAAAAATTGCTTTGTTTATATATTTGGTGAATTGATATGCTCCAGAGCCCTGGTACCATAAAACATCATAAATTGTCAATACAAAAGAAAAACAAGAAGCCATTAAAAGCTAGCTAGGGCTTAAATACAGTATAAAATAACCATTCAGCACCCTAAAACTGTCCATAAAATAGACCTCAGATCAGAAGCAGACCATAAAACAGCCCAAAAGATATAAAACCCCTTAGTTAAATTTTTGGGTAAAAGAACTGTTTTGGCCTGGCACCTAAAAGACAGTATGTCAGACACCAGGCAAGCCTCAGTGTGGAGGGCATTCCAAAGGCAAGATGCTACCACTGAAAAAGCCTAGCTGCTACCCACTCGCCTCTGAGGGTGAGGGCACAGACAGCAAGGCTCAGGAGGCAGGTCTTCAAGAGATTTCTAAGCTGCTTTCAAAGCATTCAAAGTGGTTGAGTTCTGCTACTTTAGAAATCCCTCACCTGTTCCCCAAAGAGCTGTACATTGGTTCTGCAAGATAGGACATTGCCCCATGTAGCAATAACCTTGGTTGTTTCTGCACGGATAACCGTTCACGTGGAAGCGATCGATTGGACATTGATGAGAGAGGCCTGTGCACAATTCTGGCAGATCACAGTCGTGCTTAGCTGCCCGGCATACTGCTCCCGCTCTTCTGATCTGTTAGACAAAGAGAAAGATCGTCCATTACCTCATTACTTGTTACATTTTTCTCTAGATGTAAATCGGAGACTAACATTCCAGGCTTCTGCTGTTAGGGTCAAGTAAAGAAAGACTGGAATCCCAGTACTCTGGCTTGGGAAATTCTTCGGGGAGGTGCCTGGGGAGGGTTTTGTACAGGGGAGGGAGCTCAGTGAGGATATAATGCACAGAGTCCATTTTTTGAAGCAGACGTTTCCTCGAAGGGACTTGATCTCTGTAGTCTGGAGATCAGCCATAACTCTGGGAGAACTCAGGCCCCTCTGTCCTTGGTCGCAGTCCCCCACCCTAGAAAAACTGAGGAGAACAATTAAAAAATGTCCAGAAAATGGCCTCCACAGTGACCCTCCAGGAATTTACCTATGTCTCTATAGTTTACCATAAAGATTGGGGAAAATCCTAGAGCATCACCCGGAAGTGATACGACATCCTTTCTAAACTCCATCCACCCCAGACACCACCCTCAAAATTTCCCTGCATTTGCTGAGGCTGTACTGGCAACCCTAGAGTCATTTCCTCATCTATATACTGTTTGCAGGTGGTTGGGGGCTGAAATGTGGGATCCATTCCTGAGGATGAAAGCCAAGGCAAATACTGAAGGGAACCTTTTCTTCATGAGCATCAGTCCCTGCTGTGCTGCAGTGATATCATAGATGTATGCCAGGACCCCATCTGAGTAAAGTTTGGACCACAAACAGACTAAGATCCTGTCCAAAATGTGCAGATATGGGTTTCCAGGGAGGTATTACAGGGAGGTCCACATGGTGTCAGTACAAGTACATTGGAGCTCTTAAAGATTATTCTGTATTCTGCATCAGTATAGCAGTATACAGCAACGTATCAGTTTCCATTGAATCAGAAGAAAAGTTTAACAAACATGTTTCACAATACTTTTGGTTATAACCAGTCTCAGAGACATGTAAAAATTCTCAGTCCTCATCTGTCTTAATTTCCTAAACAACAGGATAGAAATGGATTCTAGATAGTGCTGGTTGGGAATTCTAGCATGGGAGGGAATTCCCAAGTTCATTATGAGTTGAACCAAACCCCTTTTGAAAATCAGGGTTTGCTTGTAATGGGCTCAGTGCCAACCAGCCATCTTTTCCCCAGTGAATGACTGGAAGAAACTAGAGATGAGGGGGGCTAGAAGGCCATAGGAGAAGCCTTGCAGGTATCATCCTTAAGGTGTGGGCACTCCTGAGCAGTGTTCCCTCTAAGCTGAGTTAGTCTGAGCTAGCTCACAGTTTTTTAGCCTCTGACTCACAAATTTTTGTCTCAGCTCAGGAGGGATGGCTCCGAACAAACTAATTTATGCAGTAGCCAAATCACTTGCTCACAACTTTAATGCCAGTAGCTCACAAAGTAGATTTTTTGCTCACAAGACTCCACAGCTTAGAGGGAACATTGCTCCTGAGCATGCTCAGGGGAATGTATGAGACCATTCTCATTTCCAGCATTCTTCCTGTCTATGAGCAAGCCCAAGCCAGTGAGGATATAAAGCCAAGACTTACCTGGCAGTTTTCACAACAGTCCCCATATCCACATTTAGCACCTGGCTTCAGTTTACATGTAGCAGCATCGCAGCAGTGGTTTGAACATTCCTTAAAAGTAAAAATAGTAAGATTATGAGCCCAGCACAGTGTTTTTTGCCTGGCCTGTTCCAGTTAGAGTTCCTTTTGGAGGGTAGCGTATACAGACAAATGTATTGCTATAGCACATTTCAGAGGTCCATCAGTGGCTATTAGCCACAAGGTATAGATAGGAACTCTCAGTCTGGGGCAAGGGATGCCCTGTATTCTTGGTGCTTGAGGAGGGACAACAGTGGGAGGGCTTCTAGCATCCTGGCCCCACTGGTAGGCCTCCTGATGGCGGCTGGTATTTTTGGCCACTGTGTGACACAGTGCTGGACAGGATGGGCCATTGGCCTGATCCAACATTGGCTTCTCTTATGTTCTTATGTTCATCGTATAGTGTTTACTAACCCTAACCTTTCTCACCAAGACTCAAAGCAGTTACACAGTGTAAACTGATAACAGTTCCCTGTGCTAGAATCAGAGCTTGTGTGTACAAAATGTTGATAGATGATTTAGGACTCAGAGTCCTGGACTCTTGATAAACAGCTAGCGCATATGCCATCCATGATCAGGGATATACATATCCACCCAATTTTGAACTGTGATTTGGCAGCCAGGTACAAGCATGAACACTGAACACATTCTTTTTGAAAGAGTTTTTAGATCTGCCAACATTGTAAAATGGAATCTTAAGCCTGTACAAAATATGCCATCATTTTCAGTCTATTATTTTGTCTAAATCAAGGTTTGAAAAAATGGTGGGTCAGCCCAGAGATGCTTCAGAGCTTCTGGGAGCGAAAAGCTGTGCAACCTTGAGCTTGTCTGACCAAGTTATGGCGCTTCAGAGCCCATCCGCTAATGATTTAGACAAAGGCTGTATTACTTTATCTGATTTCTCTCTCTCTCCCTTTCTGTTATTAACTTGACCACTTATGGTGAGCCAAAGAAAAGTTGTTCAGTATAAAATGCATTTACCCAGTGCAAATACATTTCATACTGAACCTTTTCGAAGGAACTTTCCCCCCTCTCTCTAACCAATGTGAAAGATGTGGAATGGTATGGTATAGCCTGATTTCGTCAGATCTCGGAAGCTAAGCAGGGTCAGCACTTAGAAAGGAGACCACCAAGGAAGACTCTGTAGAGGAAGACAATGGCAGACCATCTCTGCATCTTGTCACTTGCTTTGAAAGCCCCCTGCTGTGGATGCCATAAGTTGTTCACAACTTGCTGGTGTTTGTTATAGGGTTGCCAAGTTATTCTTCGCCGGGAGCGGGGGGCTCCCGGCCGGCATGGTGTGTGTGTGCGCGCGCCACGTGCGCGTCACCCAGGGCCCGATTCTGCGGTGGCGGAAATCGGGCCTCCAAAGCGGGGGGTTTACCTGCCCCCCGCCCCCACTTGGCAGCCCTAGTTGGTGTACATATCCAAAGAGAAGGGGTCCCCCCCCCCAAAAAAAAGCCTTATTGTGAGATACATGCTGCTCTTGCTTTGGTATAAAGGTAAAGGTTTCCTTGCTCGAAAGCCAGTCGAATCCGACTCTAGGGTTGCGGTGCTCATCTCCGTTTCAAAGCCGAAGAGCCAGTGCTGTCCGAAGACGTTTCCGTGGTCATGTGGCCAGCATGACTAAACACCAAGGTGCACGGAACGCTGTTACCTTCCCACCGAAGTGGTACCTATTTATCTACTTGCAATTTCTTGCTTTCAAACTGCTAG